TGACATTCTGCATCGTGGGTCCTCCAAGAGGCCAAGCCTCAAGGACGACGTAGGGCCGACGTGGACGGCAGTCAGCTTGTCATTGTCAGCTCGGGTCAGTCAAAAAGACAGACGTTGATGGCGGTCAGGGGTGGTGAGCAGAGCCGTGAAGAAGACTTTCGTTATCGTGCTTGCCACGACCTGGGTCAGAGATCGAGTGGGTAAGCGCCGGCGTGGTGCCCATGGACTTAGGATGGCAGATAAGGTGCCACGGAGAAGGGCGAAGGGGAAGCGAGGCGATGTGAGGCGAGGCGAGAAGGGGAAGCGAGAGGAGGGGGGTCGGTAGTCGTCCAAACGAGTCTCGGGACCGGAGGAGAATCGATTCGAGAGAAGTGCCATGCTGCCGTGGACGACGGATTAGAAAAATAAAATAAAAACCATTAACCAAGGCGATGGAAGGTGGCGGTCATGGATGATGGCTGCAGCATCGGGCGTGGGAAAAGAGGGGGAGGAGTCGGGATTGGCTCGGAAGATTGTGGCATTCGTGGGCGGTTGTTGTTCTTTTTGGACTTGTTTGTTTGTTGCTGACGCTCCTGCCTTCTCGAAATGGACGGCATCACGACGCTAGGCGGCGTGTTGGACTTTTGGGCTCCACAAATGACGAGTCCACAGTGGATGCTGATTTGCGAGAGTCCAGATTGCAGAGCAGAGGCACCCGCCGGTAAAAGGGGAGCCTGAGCCTGAGCCTGCATTGGCAGTTGCGTTGCTTGCAGATGCAGCCACGCAGGCACAACGAGCACGACACTGGCCAGAGCCGAGCGGAGAGACAGACACAGAGAGCGAGAGACAGGAGTCCATGGCCCATGGGTGGTGACTGGTGAGGAGCAATTACACAGGAGAAGGAAAGAAGGCGACCAGGATCACACGAGCTCGCGAGTGCCCACGGGCCACTTACCCCTGCAGGGGGTCAATGAGCTTAGTTCACAAACGGCCAACGGCGGGCCAATGGACGCAGTGTTCCCAAAAATCAGCTTTTTTTTAAAAAAGCATGCTTTTTGCTTTGGCTAATAAAAGCAGCTGCTTTTAACTCTACCCCTGGAATAACGTATTAATCTGGGCTGCTTTACCCGATTAGGCTAGCGTTCGGCGTTTTTAACCCCTAAATTCCTAGCTAGTATGCTTTTTTAGCGTTTTTTCCCTCTATATACTACTAATACTAAAATTATTACTATTATACGTAATAATACCCCCTATAATTAAAATATATTATATTAAGTAGTATTTTTATAATTATATTAACTTTAGATTTTTTAATATTAAGTATACTAAAGAGTAGTATATTTATTATAACTAGGTTACTATTATTAGTATAATATATTAGAGAGAATATCTCTTTAAATATTTTTAATACCTATATATTTAGGTATATTTAGTATTACTTTTTTATATTATAGTTATTATAATAACTTTAGAAAGGTTCTTAAGCTTTATTAAAGAGGTTAACTATAAAGTAGCTCTTATTATATTTACTAATAAATATTACTTAACTATATATAAAGACTATTAGACCTTTAATCTTTTTTACTTAATTAAGTATAATTAGTAGCTTCTTAAGTTATATACTTTTTACTAAGTCTACTTACTTAAGATTTATAGTAAATTATATATTAAAGTTAAAGCTATTATTAATAACTTACTTTATATTAATATTATTTTTAATACTTCTAATAATACTACTAAGTACTATATTATTAATATTTTAGTTATTATACTTAATAGCTTTACTTTTTATTAGTATATTTAGGCTATAAAAAATTACTTTTATAATATTACTATTTTAGTTATTAAGCTTCTATCTATCTTTAAAGAGATTACTATTATTAATAGTATTATTAACCTCTAATATATTAATAGAATAACTATAGATATTAACTTAACTATAAAACTCCTCTATATTTACTTCTTAAAGTAAAAAAGCCTTATTTACTACCTATTTACTCTCTATAATTTTTATAAACTTAACCTTCTTATTAATAATATCTATTATTTACTAAAATTTCACTTTATTATTAATAAGGTTATTATAATTATTATTTTCTTTTAGAATTTAAAGCTCTAATTAGCTTATTTATAAGAGATATAATATTAACTCTATAGTAAAGAGAGATCTCTATTAATATTAAGTTTTATATAGTAAAGTAATATAAAGTAGTACTTCTAATTAGTTAACTAATCTAAAGTAGCTTTATTAGTTTATATTACTCTTAAAGATATACTTAAATAATATTTTAATATAAACTAAAGTAATAACTTTATACTTATTATAGTAGTTATTAGTATTATTATTAATAAGTTCTTTTAGATATAAGTAAATTACTTCTAAATACTTCTTAAACTTATTAGTAAAGCTATTAAGACTTTAGAAGCTAATTAATCTAATTTAAGCTATATAGTTAGCTATTAGTATTTTATTATTACTACTTAATAGACTTTTTAAGCTATAAGTAAATAGTAAATTAAGTAGCTAGCTATTTAAGAGAAATACTATATATATTACTAAAAGTAGCTATACTTTATTAACTTTATTATTACTACTTTCTTATTTTATAATATATATAAATTTAGTAATAATAAGTAAAAAGAGATCTTTAGTTAGTTTAAGAAGTATATTATTACTACTATTATATATAGCATTTAGTAAATTAAGATTATTAACTTATAAACTTATTATAACCTTCTTTTTAGCTTTATTTTAATATTCTTTAACTTAATAATAAAGCTATTTATAATTTAAAGCTAAATAGAAACTATAAAGTTAGAATTAATATTTTTAGCTTAATAAGTACTTAGCTATATTATTATATTTATACTATTTAAGAGAAGCTTCTCTATATTTAATTATATATATAATTAAGTTTATAATAAATTATATTTAGATATTAGTAATTAACTAATTTTTATATATATAAATATTTAAGTTTTAGAGAGATTATAACTCTAAAGAAGAAGCTATTTATAGCTTTTATTATAGTATATATAGGAGTTATTAATAGAAGAGGAGTTAGTTAACTTAGAGTATTAGATCTTAGCTAAGATAGCTAATAAAGTAGTTTTAGTAGATTTAGATACCCTTATTAAGCTAATCGATTAATTTTTAAGTAGAGATTATTATTATATCTGAAATTTACTTACTTTCGCTGAAAAAAGCAGTGAAAAAGCATGCTCTAGCCGAAAAAAGCGCCGACATGCATGTGCTGCTTCAGAACCCTGAATGGACGGCGCCGTTTCGTGGCGTCTCCCAGGACGGCCCCGCTCTTTCCAGGCACAGTCTGCGGCGATTGGTCAATGGCGGAAATTGCAGCCGCCCGTTGACGAATCGCTCGCGCCTGTCAGATGCGCTCAATCTTGGACCGTTGCCCCCATCCCCCTCCATCGAGTCCCATCGTCCATGGGCTGTGCTGGCCGCGAATGGAGAATTGGCCCGGGGCCGGGTCCACTGTGCCAATGGTTCAATGGTTTTCAATGGGGACCGAACTATGGATTCCGAGGAAGGGAAGGTGGGAGCAGAGAGGAGAGGAGAAAGAGAGAGCAAGAGGAGATGCTAACTTCCGCTCCGCTGGCTGGCCGCTGTCCTCTCTTGTCCTAGACCTAAGGTAGCCAGCTAGTCCTGGATGACGAGGTGGCCTGCCATGCCATGCCGTGCCGGGCAGTTTCTCTGTCCTTGATTTGTGCGGATTGCTGCTGGGTTGCAAAGTGGTAATCAAAACTAACATCCCAAAAAGAACATATAGGATCATTACAAAGTAGACCCCCCTGTCAGCCGCCCGCCCGCCCTGTGTTGTGCTTGCTGTGCTGTCTATCCATGTTATGCACCTCCGTCACTTGGTGCTGCAGCATTGCGCCGTACCTTACATTACCACTACCACATGCCGAGCGTGAATAGCACCAATGAATCCTCCCATGCGTACCCGTAAAGTGTGCCTGCCCAGGAAAGGAATGGCTCCATCGTTCGTTCCTATTCCTGCTTGGCCCCAGTGTCTCTTCCCAGTCCCAATCCCAGCGCTACCACCCAGCCAGCCTAGAACCCGGCACACACCTTTTTTTCCCCCCCAGCAGGCCGCCAGGCTCAGAGGACTCGAGGAGAGGTGCCCTGGACGGATTGGATGGAACCACCACACCGCACCCGCGCCAGCACCGCTTCTGGACCCGGCTGGCCATGGCTGCATGCTGGCTGAACCACACCCCCTGGTCGCTCATTTTCCAGGACATATCCTTCCTCACTTCCCTTCCGGATTCTTCTTCTCCTCTTCTTTCCCTTCCTTCTTCTTCAACAACTTTGTTCAATCGTCGTCGTCCTTGCTGTTACCGTTGCAGGACCGTGTTGTCATTCGCTCTCTATTAGCACCTACCCCAATACAGTCATTCCCTTAATCTCGTCCCTTTGGAATTCCAGCTCTTCACTCACTCGGCTGTCTTCCGTCCTATCGTTAATTCCGCTACTATCCTCCGATCAAGAAAATACCATACCAACCCATCCAAAAATACACACACGACACGAAAGACAAGTGCATTCTTTACGACTACTTCTGACGGCCCACCACCACCGAGAGAGGACTTAATCCCTTACGTATGTTCGAGACCTTAGCCAACGACCCTACCCACCACCCCTTTCGATTCCCCACGAGACACACCTTCTTCTGGGACTGGGACCCCTACCGAACGTCTGGAGCATTGCGTTGGCCGTTGGCCGGTGAAAGAAGGGAGACTCGGAATGCGGTCCCCCTTTGTGTGTTGCCTCACAATGCTCCAGAATGTCTCTGTTGCCCGCCCGTCGCACCCTCAAACAACACAGCCAGCGCAACAAGCCCCTCCGTCCTTCGCGATGCTAACATGATCTCCCCCGACAGTTTCGTTCCCTCTTTAATAATTACCTCGAATACCGCTCCCTTCCCCGCCTCCGGCCAACTCCACCAAAAGGGATATTCTCAGTAATTAATACCAAGCGTCACGAAGCCGCCACAATGCCTTCCATCCAGAACCTCATCTCCCGCAACAACTCCCCCGTTGTCCGCCGCAGCGATTCCCACATCGTTGTCCGCCGCGGCGACGACGACGGCGGCGACATGCTCAACCTCATGATCGTCGTCCTCGCCCTCATCTTCTTCGCCCTCCTCCTCATCTCCACACTCTTCCTCATGCGCCGTATGCGCAGGCAACAAAGGATGCAGGAGCAGATGCTTCCTACCTACCAGGAGGTCAAGAGCGTCAGAAACCACCACAACCTTACCATTCAGACAAGCCAGGACGGCCGCTCAAGCGTCCTGTACATCGGCGGAGAGAACGGTCGCTCCCCCATGCTCCAGAACCCCGCGTCCGCCCCTCACTCCCCCGACAACGTTCCCGAGATCCACATCACCTTCCCCGATGAGCAGGACGAGGGTGGCCGTCGCAAGAGCGGCCGCGTGTTGGTCGTCCGTGTCGGTGACGGCGGCTCCGTCGGCCTCGAGCCCGTCCGCGAGGAGCTCCCTGCCTACGAGAAGGACAGCAAGTCGCAATTCTACTCCGTCGACATGGACTCGATCGGCGGTCTCCGCGAGAAGGAGCGTTTCAACTAAGCTTCTCTCCGCTCGATTTTCATCTTTCACCGGAATTACACCTTCAAGTGTCCCATCTGCCCGGACAAAATCTGTACAGATCGGCACCCGCTGTACAAAAGCATTCAGCAATTTTCTCATGGCATGGCGTTCGACGACACACACTTTATACCCTGCGCACCGACGACTTGGATTCAATGCACCGCCCGCAGACGGAGGGTCCGGCTTGCGTTTGCGGCGTTTGTAGTGCATCGGACTTTTTGGATATGGCTCTGGGCGCAAAACATCACGTACATATAAACTTAACGACTACCCCGGGAGGCCTGTCCCGCGGTGTGAACTAGGATTCACCGTGTGGTGGAGGCGATCGTCGGGCTGTAGAATACCCGTATTCTCTAATGCTGTATAATTCCACCGTTCTCGATCTGCCTGCTTCTGGTGACGCTGTGACTTGTTGATGCAACGTGAGCAACCGCTGGCGATTAGCTCTGAATTAAGACGTTCAAACGATAAAGCTCGCTTCATTCGCTGGCTAGCCGCCTTGGTGTCCTTGGCATAGGTTAGTTGTCGAGAGAGCGAATCGCCGCACAGGAACCTCGCTCGTCTTGCAAGTCCGACCGCAGGTAGTTGATGTTGCTTATTTGACGGATCTACAAGGCTGCAAACTGACAGTGTTGATCATGGCACCCGGGTGACATATCGGTGGTTTACCGCAGAGATCGTCGACAACCCCGAATCAGATCACACCAACTCGACATGCTTGGACCCAGTTGTCAGGCCCCACCCTCGCCGGATCTCGCCGGGTAACATCCCCGGGTATCGGCTGTGCGACCTCTCGATGCGCATCGCCTTCTGAACGCCGCATCAACCAGTCGCAATCTTCAATTGAGATGACGAGTGGGTTAGCATGTCACAGAAGTGGATACGGCATCGTCGCGGGGTCGACCTCGTGGTCGCCTATATCTTGACTTGTGGCCCTCCACCGAGCCGTCCTCGCCTCTACGAGCGTCGTTCAAATCTCGATCCTGAGCAGTAGGCCGTCTTGCACATCTGCTCGTGGCCATCATGGCTCCGTCTTCCGAGATTCCTCCTCCCTATGAGCTGCCCCCAAAGCCCAGCGGGCTGAAGGTAGACAAGCCCAACTTCATCATCTTCATGCCAGACCAGCTCCGCTACGACTCACTGGGCTGCAACGGTAACAAGGTAAGCTTCTCCCTTCTCGCCCCTCATCTTCACCGCACTAACAAGAACCGCCAGATCGTCAAGACGCCGCACATTGACAGCTTCGCCGCGGAGGGCACCCGCTTCACCAACTGCTTCGTCCAGGCGTCCGTCTGCACGCAGTCCCGCTGCAGCATGTTCACCGGCAACTACCCCCACGTCTCGGGCCACCGCTCCCTCGAGAACCTCATCAAGCCCTGGGAGCCGAACCTTTTCCGCTCCCTCAAGGAAAAGGGCGGGTACCACGTCGCCTGCCTCGCGCCCCGCGGCGACACCTTCGCGCCGACGGTGACGGAGATGTCCCTGGACGAGTACGGCTTCCTCGAGACCCCCGAGTTCGTGCCGCGCTTCGCGGGCGGCGGTAGGGCGGAGCCGGAGGACAAGGAGGACATTTGGAAGAGGCTCTTCTACAAGGGGCTGAGGAACCCGAACGAGGCTCTGGATTATGACGATGCGGTCGTCAAGGGGGCGTTGAAGTGGCTGGAGCACCCGCCGACGGACAAGCCGTGGGTTCTCTTCATGCCGCTCATCTTCCCGCACTGCCCGTTCCAGGTGGAGGAGCCGTACTTTTCAATGTACAACCGTGGGGAGATGGGACAGCCGATCAAGCCCTCGGACAAGGTATGTGGTGATCTGCGAGGACGTGTCATTCAGGGGGAAGGACATCTTGACTAACACCACGGACAGACGGGCTACGAGCCGCGATACATGCAGCTGAACCGCGAACGCTACGGCACCCACCGCGCCACCCCTGAAATCTGGGCCGAGGTGATGGCGACCTACTACGGCATGATCTCCCGCCTGGACGACCAGTTCGGGCGCGTGGTCGAGCGCACCAAGGCCCTCGGCCACTGGGACTCCACCGTGACGCTCTTCTTCACGGACCACGGCGAGTACCTCGGCGACCACGGCATGATCGAGAAGTGGCCCTCGGGCCTGTCCGACTCGCTCACGCACGAGCCGCTCATCGTCGGCGGCGCGGGGCTGCCGGCCGGCGCGGTCTACGACGAAATGGCGGAGATGGTCGACCTGGTCCCGACGGTGTTCCAGTTTGCCGGCATCGGGGAGCACTTCCCGCACTGCGGCACGTCGCTAGCGGACATCCTGACGTCGGCGGGCAGGGATGGGAACGGGGACGTGATCAGGCACAAGGAGTTCGCCTTCACCGAGGGCGGCTTCCTGACGAGCGAGGAGCCGCTGCTGGAGCAGGCGCCGTATCCGTACGACATCAAGGCGGCGCTGCAGCACGAGGACACGACCGTCGTGGGCAAGAGCGTATCGTGCCGCGACAAGCGGTGGACGTTCATTTACAGGCTGTACGAGCCGGCGGAGCTGTACGACCGCGCGGGCGATACCGGCGAGCTTCACAACCTTGCCGAGGTCGCCGAGTACCAGGACGTGAGACGGCGGATGGAGAGCGTGGTTCTGAGGTGGATAGTAGCTAGTAGCGACTTCTTGCCGTGGCAGAAGGACCCGCGGTTCCCTGCTGTAGAGATGGAGAGCGTTGCAGATCAGTTCAGAAAGAGAGGCGGGGTGCTGGAGGAGAAGCCGAAGAACTGAGTGTTCAGTTTCCTGCCATGCCTTGTAGTTCATTCAGACGTCATTATCTCACTGGGGTTCGAATGCGTTTGCTCTCCGGGTGTGTCTCCACTCTGGACCGGGTCGGCCTCCGAACGGTGGATTCGAACACCGTAATCCGGTCCGGTGGTACCTACCTTAGCTAGTCACAGGAGCGATCAGGTTGATGATTCGCCAGCTAAGCTGTCACACAGCATCTAATCACCAACTGGGGCCAAGCAATTTGACAAGACGCGACAGCTCGCCTGGAATTTGGTTTGTGGAACCACTCCACACAATGAGGCACAGGAACTACCGACGGTCTGGAGCCAGCAGCAAGCCATTATTTGTAAAGGAGCGGCACGTCGAAGGCGGCGCAGGGTAAAGCGGCACGAGCAAGTCCAAGTGCAGCTGTAGGGGTGCGTCCTAGCCGCCACGATGGCCTTTGGCACGGATTTGCCCTGACATGCACAACCGCGGTCCTCGTCTTAAGTTTCCTTGACAATCTCGGTAGCATCTATTTCCAGGAACAAGTCATCAACCTGCATCTTGTCTGGTTTCCCTTGACAATTCGTTCGTGTTAATTCTCCTTCCATGCACATCCCGTCCCTGGGGGAAACTCTCCACCATGAAGATGACGAGACGGTGGACCCATCGGACCAGAGACAATCTGCTCCAAGATGCATGCATCGGGATTGTTCATGTGTGTGTGTTTTTAAATTTAACTTTAAACCACGAACATTCGACAGTGTGCAGAGGACATGCTACTCTTTCGGGAACATTTTGCTCGACTCTCCTTGGTGCCTGCTTTGTCTCGCAGCGCTGCGCCTGAAATCCTCCCACAGAAGCCGTTTGGAAACATTGCCCCATGCAGGGAAGGGGGAGCCAGGGTGCCCTTAGCTCCAGTGCTTAGCATCTTTTAGCTTGCAGCACCTGCAGCCAAAATGTCACTCTCGCCTAATAAGAAAGGTGCTTGTGTCACAGAACGTTCCCCCCCTTGGATCTGCAACAGGCCCCCTTTTCCCCCGACCCCACACATGCTGGAGAGCAAGAGATGCAGAGAGCACGCTGCAGACAGTACGGCCAACAGGCAGATAGCCAGAGGGTGGGAACGGGTCATCTGCTACACATCTGACACGACCGCACAACCCCCTCGAACGCCCATCAACGAGGATCTTGACACAAGAAACAAAAGAGCCCGCCCAAGGCACGCCGCGCCCCGGTTCCAGCACCTCAAACGATGCAAACAACCCCAGCGTCCCATTGGGCCGGGGCCTGAACGGCTCCTACGGCCCTGCCACGCTGGTCGCGACTCGCCTAGCCTTTCCCTCCCTTCGTCTTCGTTACAACTTCTGGTCAGCGTTACCCGAGGGGCCCGTCACATCTTGGGTCTTTTGGGAAACCTGGAGATTGCCACGGGGGCCACGGGCAGCGCCAGGAGGAAACAAGGAGCAAGACAAGACGAAAGGATGTGATCCGGAGCGGATCCAACGAACATGCTGTACGAAGTAGCAATCGCTAACCCAAGATTCCAGGAACGATCAGCGAATGAACGAATGGGTGCGCAGACAGAAGACAGACAGACTCACGCAAACCCCCCAGGCACAGACGGCACACGGCTTGCCAAACTTTTCCCAGGTTCCGGGGTTGACGAAGCTCGCGGACCTTGTCACGTCTTCCCGCACCCACACGAGCATCGCCATCGCCAATCCTGCTCTAGTATCCCATCCACAGTTGCTACTGATGCTGCTGCTGTTGCTACTGCTGCAAGCTTCCAAGGTTGCTTGCCTGCTGCCCATGCTGACCCCCCGCGAGCATCCCAAACGCTGGTCCAGCCCAGCCCAGCGCCGAGCTCGAACCCCGTCCCGCCATGCTTCAAGTCGAAGCGCGCCAAGGGTCCTGACGCTTCTGCTCTTAATGATCAACCTAGACTCTATATTATCCCATATCCCGCACACACCCGGACCTACTCATGAGCAGCAGAAGTCAGGTTGGGGTTCCGAGCATAGATTAATGGGACGAAGTCACGTCTCCTTTTCCATTCTGTCTTTCCTCTTCTAGTCCATCTCTTCGTTGCGTTGTGTAGATCACAATCGAGAAACTTCTTTGTAATTATCCAAACGACACCAAGCTTCTCCTCCTCATCATGAAGCCCTCACTCATCCTCCTGGGCGCCGGCTCCACCCTGGCTGCCCTGCGCGACTCAATTTCTTCCCGCCCCGACGAGATCTGCATCTCCTCGCAACTGCTGGCAGCGTCCTCCAGCAACCCGGTCTGCCGCAATAAGGACGGCCTCACTCTCTCACACTCTGACGAGGCCCAGAACCCGCTCAAGGGCTCCGCCACGAGCTTCAGCTGGACGAAGACGTCTCCCTGCTTCAAGAACGGCACCGAATCTCTCGAGTTCTGTATCTTCCATAGCCAAACCTACGGCAACAAGGGCATTTCCATCATCACCGACGCTGAGCGCGCGGCACACATTACCCGCAGCTGGGGATTCACGAAACCCGAGTCTCTGGAGGGTACCAACCAGCCCCTACAAAAGTATCATGTCGCCAAGGTCCCGGGCAAGGATTACGGTCTGGTCGCTACTGTACCCATCAAGCGCGGCGAGATCATCGTCAAGGAGACGGCCAGTCTGCTCATCGACTACGCCGCGTTCGCCAATGTGCCACCTGCGGAGATGAAGAAGATGCAGGCCCACGCCGTGGACTACCTCCCGTTCAACCACCGCAGCCAGTTCATGAACATGTCTGCCCACGGGTACCAGGGCGACCACCTGTCCATGGTCGACAAGATCCTCGTGACCAACTCGTTCGACGTTGAGATGGACGACGCCAAGCGTGACGACGACTTTTACGCCGTCTTCGTTAACAGTAAGTCTACATCCTTTGGCGTTCTGATGAATGACAGCTGACACATACCCAAAGCCTCCCGCATGAACCACGACTGCCGCCCCAACGTGGACTACTGGTTCGACCCCCGCACTCTCACCCAGCGCACCACCGCCATCCGCGACATCATGCCCGGCGAGGAGCTCACCCTCTCCTACATCGACCCCATGCAGACCCGCAAGGCCCGTCGTGAGCGCCTCCACGGCACCTGGGGCTTTCACTGCTCCTGCCACCACTGCACCCAGTCGCGCCTCAAGACGGACGCCTCGGACTTGCGCATCGAGCAGATCGCCCTCCTGCGCGAGGAGTTCAACGACTACACCCCGGCCTCCCGCGCGACGCCCCAGATGGCGGAGTTGCTCATCTCGCTGTACGAGCAGGAGCACAACTGGAGCTTGCTAAGCGAGGCGTACACGCTCGCCGCGATCGAGTATAACGGCATCGGCGAGCCGTGGCTCGCGACAAAGTACGCCCGGCTGGCGATCGAGTACGGCCTGACCACGCTGTGGGAGGGCCACGGGGACGTGATTGAGATGTCGAAGCTTGCCGAGGACCCGTGGGCCCACTGGAGCTGGATGCTCAGGACGCGCAAGCGCTACAGCTGGGGAGAGAAGCGGGTCGTCGAGGTCGACGAAGATGACGAGTAAACGAAACGGGATCGGGTTTCATGGCGAGATGGGTAAAAAGGAAAAACAACAACAACACATGTATCAAAATGTAGATGTGTGTATACACTGGTGCGATGTCATCGGTTTTGGGGGCGGGGTACCTTTTTGGAATCGGGCGTCAGGAAAAGGCGTTGGGGTTCTTTTCTCGGTTGGGACAGATAGCATTGGACATGAGACTGCAAAAAGAACACTTTCACTACTTCGATTTGTGCTTTTTACGCTGGTGATCTTGCTGTGTGTTTAATTGCTTGTGAGACGTCGTCATTATAAGTTGTCCATGTGCTCATGGCCGTATTTGCCTGGATCTCAAAGTCCAAGCACACGGTTCATATTGATTAAACGCACCGATCCCGACGTCATCTCTTAAGCAGCTCACTTCACGTGGTGAGGTGAGACTCACGTGCATCCCCCAAGTCGACACGTCAAGTCTTACATCGCAAGACAGGATCAAATCTTGAATCGTGTATCGTGATATGGAATTATCTATCGTAGAACGTCTTTATGATCATCATGCTTTACTTTCGTATGTTCTCAGCCTCTGTCCAGCGTGCCCTTCGTCGTGACCCGGGTATCAAAAGCCAAGCGATGCAAGCCACCCACAAACCTTGTCACTCCAAACTCCCAATCAAAATCGAACCAACAGGAAGAAAGAAAGGCAAAAAATTCTAAAAAGTTAGAGACGGGAGGTGAGGTGCTTTGCCATCTGTATGCCACGGCGTCGTGACTGTGCGGACTTCCAGCCTCGCCCCTGCGTGTCGTCTGGCCACCTCGATCCATGCCTCCATCGTCCGCTCCCACGGCCTGAAATCAAAACTGCTCGTCCACACAAGGCTGGCCTTATCACCGTTGACGCGGTACTCGAGCTCGTGCTTGCCGGCATACATCAGAGGCCGCTGCTTGATAATCATGTGTTTGAGCTTGGGCATTGTATAAGCCAGTCTCGCGGCGGCCAGCGAGACGCATTGCCGAAACTCGACGAGATCAGAAGACTCGTTAATGTCGTCGCCCTGTTTGTGCCATTCCGTGTTGTACCAAATAGACCCGTAGGATATGTTCAGGGTCTCGAGGCGCCAGTGTACTGGCTCGCAGAGCTTTGGAACGAATGGCTCCGTGTCATCGACACCGGAGGGCCAGTGAGGCTTCAAAAACTCGCGGATACGCACAACGTTGGTGATGTTCAAGTGCTTGAGAAAGTGGGCAGCTCTGCGCAACTTGTCGCAGAGCTTGGCACCGCTGTCGGCCTCTGCCAGGGTCTCGTGGGGGATATGGCGCCACGACGATATCGTGTTGGAAGAGATGGTGAGCTTCTCCAGAGAGAGCGGCCACGCCGCCATGGACCCAGCGAACTCTGAACATGGTCAGTGAAGGGCAGAGCAGCACACCCGGCGCCGGCAGCTTACGGTTAAAATGTATCTTGCGTGTCTCCTTTCTCCTATCTTTGAGAATGTCGAAAGATGCTTCCCGCAGGCACGGCAGCCTGGCCACGATGTCGGCGTGGGCGGCAGGCATCAGCGCGCGGTGGTTCTGAGGGCTCGCCAGGAATGAGCGAATAACGTCGACCCTTGGGAGCGGGTTGTTGCGGGCAAACTCCTCGTCGTGGCCAACGAAATCGATCCACGAGTCGGCGAAGCGCTTCTCGCCAATGTCTTTGATGTTCCATCTGCGTCTCTGCCAAAGCTCAAAGTTTGCGTTGCGAAGATCGCTCGGCGAGGATATACTCAGAGTCAAGTCGACGCCTTCCCGACAGGCCTCACTGAAAGTCCATGAACTCATCAAACGAAACAAACCATGAACGGCTTTGGTGAAGCACATGTTGTTCTCGAACTTGTCTTCCCAGGTCTCCTTCTTTTCGCAGGGATCATTGTCGTAATTTGGCAGCTGGACGTGGAGGTTGATTTGTTTCAATAGGCCGCGGCGAGAGCCGACCATATAGGCCTCGAACTCATTGAGGCTCTCTTGGGTGACACGCAGAGCAGAGAAGTTATATCGCTCGACGAGGGCTTGCCATTCCTTGCAGACGGAGGCATAGGGAGCGATGGACTCTTGCTCATCTGCATACCGCCAGTGGTCGACGAGAGACTCAACGACGGTGGCACGGAGTTCCGGGGGGAGCTGGTAGAACCTATCCATCATGCTCGCTCAGGCTGAGGCACCGTGTTTGGCAACTGGAGAGGCAAGGGCAGGAAAAGAGTGTCTGCTGGCCCTGCGGCGAGGCAGGTGAGGTTGCGGGATGAGACGACAGGAGGTTGACTTGAGTTCGGGTGTGGCCTGCCAGTCCGCTGAGGCTGTGGTCGGTAAGAGTCGGTCAGAGCGAGGCAGGGCGGCGTTGGTAGCGGCAGGCGGGGATGGTGCACCTGATCCGACCCTGGGCCTGAAGTGAGTAAGGTAAGGTGAGAGAGGTGCTGGACTGGACTGGACTGGAGGCCCAAGGTGACGGAGACCTGGAGGTACAAGCGCCAGAGCAAGTGGTTGGGTGTCGAAGGGAGGCTGTGGAAAGTACCTCCCCAACTCCCGCCTCTGACGGTCCGCCGGGATGTACAGCGCAGGGCCGTGTGCGTGACCCACTGGACCGTCGACAAGTACCGGGCCGCTCCTCAAAAAGGTGGTAATGAGTGAGGGACCTGTTATCGCAGAGTGCGGGGTCGACGTGGCAGGCGGCGGAAACTTTGGAGAGGTTCAAGCGTTGGCGGATTGCTGATGCTGTAATCGTGATGCTGGCCGTCAGGTCAGAGACTGAGGTGTAGGTAAAGGCAGGGTAGGTGGGTATGTGGTTGTTCAAGGCAAACGAGGAGCCTCCAGATGAAGGAGGTCACAAAGGAAGGCGCCTTGAGGTGTGTACCTCAGGACGGGAGGTTGTAGCCGTAACCACGGGGTACCTCCCGCCTCCCATCCCCCTCCTCACTGCACTGCACCGCTCCTCCTGCCAGCCGCCCCCTGCCGCCAAGTCTTATCGCAGCGCATGCCGTTATCTCAAGCGGGCCCCACTCCAAAAAGATGGATAAGGTAAGGTAAGGCGGTTATCGATACGACACTCAACCTGACTTTATCGATATGGGACCGACCTCCCTTAGGTGACTAACTACCTTACGGCGGATTAATAGTAGTCGACGAGCCATCATCTATCCAACACGGAGCAGGGCCAGCTTCTCTCGTCGACAATGATTCAAGGGTTCCGTTCCGTCCCGCAGATTAAAGGAATTGAGGGCCATCCAGTTTCGTAGTCTGTTCGGATGCCTCCAGGTTCCATAGTCAAGCATAAACCAGACTCGAGCCGATCTCCCAAAGATGCCAGGCCAGGCCAGCGCTTGACACACTGCTGGCTGCACTGAAGCGGCCCAGTGGCCACTTCTCCTGATCTGAGAGACAGAAACCCACGTCTCGTGACACAGCCCAGGCCCGGACCAGACCAGGCCAGGCTTGCCAATTGCCAGACCACTTCAAGACAAGCCTGACAACACCCGACAGCCTCCCAAACTGCTCTCGACGGCACGAAACGGCACACTTACCGCCAAGCCTGACGCTCCAGCCAGCCGCCAGCCTCAGGTCCAACCAACACTGTGACTGACCTGAGGAAGGTATTCCAGTGGCGGGGCGGATACTGGACGGAACCACCTCACCGTTCACGTCCAGCGTTGCGGCCTGGAACCAACTGTGCCGATGGGTTTCACAGCGCTCCTCGGGGTCAGTCACAGGCCACGTCTGCACTGAACGAGCAGCGGCGGGGCAGGTTCCAGCGGGGCTCCCTCACTGAATCAGGGCTAGTGCGGGGTTCCTGCTGCGCCCACTGCTGGCATTTCTGGGCCTGCAGCACCTCACCATTTCCCACCTGTCCCAGTCCCAGTCCCAGTCACAGTCGCAGTTCCAGTTCCCCCATCCCAACCCATCCCAACTCATTCCATCCCGCCCCATCCCGGCCAGGCAGTGTGCTCCAGCCGGTCCTCTCACCTCAGCCAGTCCCAGATCTGGGTCCTGATTGATGTGCTGCTGCTGTATCCGTGGTCCTTAGGCTGTGATCCTCAGGCTGTGAGAGGGTGAATTGCAGTGAAGGTGCTAATTATATGCGCGTGTGAGGTGGGGGGGGCAATGAATTGGAGTTGGAACCCTTGTTCGCGCCAGCCAGCCTTCGCAGGAAGCTCCGATGACGAAACCCAGGTAGAGGGCGCAGCCTCTTTTCTTTTCTTTCTTCATCTTGCTTCACCTTCCATTCCTCCCTCGCCATCGTCTCTGCACCCGCCCACATTGAGATAGATCCCTTCGCCAATCCTTGTGCCACAAGAACACCAGACCTGATGATTGAAGCCGCCACCATCCCGTCCGCTCCTGCCATGGCAGACTCCTCAAAGGGCCTACAGGCCCTGCGCGAGTCCAAACCCCCTGCCACCGACACCTTCACCTATCTGACCATCATCGGCGAGGTCCTGTCTCCTGAGATTCTACCAGAGCTCAACGACATTTTGCAAGATGCACAGCTCACCCAGGACATCGGATGGGACCTGGTCGAGATGCTCGTCCCCGTTCAAGGGAGCGAGCAGTGTCTCGAGACCATTGCGCAGCTGGGCAACCCGCGCGAGGTCATCCTGAAGGTCCTCGAGGTCCTCGAGAAGAACGTCGACGATGCCACAGACGACGAGGACGACGACCAGACCACGGCCACATTCGTCAACCTCGTCGGCATGCTCAGCATCCTCCACAAACGCCTGAACGTCGCGCGGCCCTCTCGCTTCGTCCACACAACCCTCCAGAGCGTCTACCGCACCTACCATCCCCGCAATCCTGAAATGACGGCCGCAGTCATCGCCCTTATCCGCTCCTTGTCAGGCGAAAAGCGACCACCTCTGCCCACTCGCCAGTCGAGCAACAAGCTCGACACTCCCTTCACATCCAGCGACCCCACGAAGCACGCACCTGACCCCGAGGCGGGGAAGTCCCAACAACTCGCGCCAACCGAGCCGGCCACCACGAAGCGCCTACTGCAGTCC